ACTTACGACTTAGTTTAGAACTGTAATTTCGGATGTATCTTGAAATTGTCATAAGTCGAAATTCATATAAACAAGTAATACAATTTGTATACACATATATCAAAATGTACAGCTTTTATTTCTGATTTTTGGTTAATTGTAAATGCGAATAATCCCAAGTCGAAAAATTCTTTTTATGTGTGAAAATAATTATGAAAATTAAAGTATCAAATCAATCTCAGAATCAATTAGATTTTTTAGTTATAATGTTATTCCAATATTGTATTGAATATTTGTAATGACTTTTTGATTAACAACTCAGTTCAATTTGATAAATAGAAATAATAAAATTATTATAGAAATATGTCAAAAATTAACACTTTTTATTTCTTCTTCTTATGATTTCTTTTCATCGTAAGTTGTAAAATTTCTGTAATTCTAATTCTTTAGAAAAATATGAATTATATACAAAAATTGATGCTTAAAGGAAATAATTTTCGGATTAACATTTGTAAATAGATACAAATTCAACATTAAATGTATGTAATTCTTGAGAAAAATAGTAAAATAGTAATAGTAAAAATGGTAGATTATGAATAGGATTATCCAAAGCTTTGATACAGAAATGCATATTTATATGATAGAAACAATTTTATCATCAATTTTATGTAAAATTTCAAATGCTTTGAAAACATATTACATGTTATATAATCCATTTTCAATAAAAATGTTTAATTTCAGAATTTCCGTATCAAAGCTTTCTTCATATACGTACATTTTCAGCGTGTTGCGTTTATTGCTACAATTACAATGTTATTCCAATACTTTATAGTGTATAGTAAAATATAGTTTATGAAAAGGATTATCCGATTATCTAAAGCTTTATTACAAAGTAACTATTAATTATTATATGTTAATATTCCATAAGCAATAAAAAAAGTTCAGTGTACAAAAAGATTACCTGTATTAAAACAATCATAAAATACATTTTCAGAACGACACAAACAAAGTAAACTTTGCAAATCAAATGATCTTCTTATTCTTTACAAAAATATTAAATCGAAAACCAATAAAAAGAAAAGAAAATTAGTTTAACAATTTTTAATTGGATCATTTATATCCTAATTATTTATAGAAAAATATTTTATAATTTAATGAAAGAAACAATAACTCTGGTGGAATTTGATGTGAACATAGATCAAGAACTAACATCTTTTTATTCTAACAAATACATTTAGTGTTAAAAAACTTTTTTTTTTGAAAAACTAATTTAAAAACAATTAAAATTTTCAGATATTTTAAATCTATTATTAAATGTTTTATGAAAGAGAACAAATATATGATAAAGAAGATTATGATTGGATTTTTGACTTTACAAAATTATTGCTTTAATTATTCTCTTCATTTATTACATGTAGAAAGATTTGATAATTTAGCAAGCTTTTATTATTTATTTATTTATTTGAAAAAAAGTGCAATACTATGTTGGTATTGCACTTCCACTTATTTCCATTTGATATAAAAAAAATAGTAATTATGGAATCAAAGATTTTGTTGCAAATTCTGCATTTTATCATCAAATTGCTTATTTCCATTGTTATTCAAATGCTTCAAAAAAAATATTTGGTAATATTTTATTCGGAACAACAAAAACGACAAAAAGGATTATGAGAATCAAAGATTTGTTGCATACAAACAATTTCATCATCAATTTAATGCGATTTTTCCAATGCTTCAAAATTATACTTTAATATTCCTTTAGCTACAAAAACTGGTAGTCTATAAAAGGGATTATCCGGTTCAAAGCTTTGTTACAATTCTGCAGAAAACAAAGGAACTCACTGTAAACAAATCCCCGTTTTTTTTTTTCGAGGCTTTACTAGAGCCAAATGCTTTCGTTGCTCGTAGGCTTCTAATTAGTATGTACCGTACGCACAGGAAGCACACGTGATCAGAGGAGTTTCCTTCAAAAGCCAATTTCAGATCTAATTCCACTGCGGCCTGATTGCTAATGGTAATTACTAGCAGCATATTGAAATTATGTTATGACGTGATACAAACCAATTAAAAACTTTTCAACTGCATTCAAAAGATTAACTTCAAATTTACCTAGAGTTATTTAGATAACGGAAATCGAAATTGTAGGTAATGAAATCAATGCGCAAATTATAATCGAAATTGACTTGTAATTGCTTTAATTAAAAATCGATTTGCATAAATACATTTACGTTTAATCTGAAGCCACGAAATTGCTTCAGAATTTTCGAGTATTAAAACACTTCGGAAAGACACTCACGTCCTTTCAATGTGTGCTCGCTTTTAATCAACGAAACTTTCAATGTTTTTAATTAAATTCATTTCGCTTCCGTCTCTAGGACTTTGCGCAAAGCGATAATTGGATGCGAATGTTCGGACTTAATTGAAACGATCTCCACGTCGTCGTCGTCCGGGGTCAGAAGGGCACGGATACTATTTAATTAACGTCTATTATAATTTTCATCGTAACCACTAATGCACGTGATGCGTAAATTGAATACATGGAAATACCCTCATCGAATTATTTATAATAAATATATTTAGTTCAGTTTATTAGTCACTTCTCGATATTCAATTAACAAATTAGTATAGGTATGCCGAAATTGTCGTAACTCAAATTTAATATAAATAAAATTATAAAATTATAATAGACATACAGTAAGACATGTTTTAGAGATTCTTCCTATTTAATTAGTGTTCTATAAACACACGAAATTCAGATTTTTCCAGTGTTTTAAAAATTACAAAACTAGCGTCACTAAAACCACTGTAACTAGTGAATTAAACGTCAGATTGCCATGACAACTTGACGGGCGTCGTCTGAAGGTTGGTATTTCCTAAAAATCATGGATTTGTCGATAGAGGCGCCATCTATATGCCATCGTACGAACTTTTTGAGAGAGGTGTTATTATATAATAAAATGACTACGATTAACGCTGTTTCGTTTAGCGTTTGGTGTCTAGAAACGCATTCTAACCTCTAAACGAAGTCTCGACACTTCGATCGTTCATCTAGCTAAGTAGTAGTTTCGATTGGTACTGAAAATGGGAGGGAAGAAGATTATCACAGATTATAGCGTCCTCGACTTCATCGAAAAGCTTTAACAAAGTCAGTGTTACCTTGTTTAGAGCTTCTTCCTATTTATTGTATGATAAAATGACTTCGTTCAACGCTTTTAGTTACTGTACTAATTATGTTGGATTATATTTTTTTTTTTTTTAAGTTTTCTTTATAGAAAATGAACTTTACAAGTTTAACTTCTATGGAATACTTTCATAATCTTTAAAGTTTTTTTTTTAATTAAATTCGTGCCTTCGGTTAAGAAATCCTTTAGTAAAACTTTCCGACGGTTCGAAAAAGCGTAAAGATGCACGCGCGATTTCTTCAAATAAAACTACAATTGAGAAACAGAAAAAAAAATGGGAAATAACATAGAAACATTGATGATTTCGTGCCGGAAATTGCTCTGTTGTACGTTAATTTCCGGGGGAATAAACGTTCACTAAAAATTCCGACGAATGATTTTCTTGTCATGAGGGGAAACGTTCATTCTTTTTTGTTTTTATTGACGAAACTGTAATTTTCGATTCTTCCGGTTCTATCGAAGTACGGATGAGTTGGATGGTTTTGTCGTTAAGTTACACTAATGCGTTTTAAATGACGTTTTGAATTCTTTTTTCCAAACAAACATTGAATCTTTTTTTTTAAGAAAATATTCGATGAGATCATTAGAATAAAAACGTTTGTATTATATCATTTTATCATATTTATTAAAATTGTACAAATAATCGCATAGTGCGAGCCAATATTCCGGTCTAATCGAGGAAAGTACAAAATCAAATCCGATAAAAACAGACTCGATTGGAAAACAAACTGATATTTTAGATATAAAAACAAATGTAAACTATTTTTTTGTTTTATCAATTATAAATCCAGACTTATTGAACAATTTTGTTGCATTAGAAACATTTTAAAAGAGCTAAATCAGATCAGTAATATTTAAATTTTCAAAAATAATCAAATATTCTCTAAATATTACATAAACAGAAGAATGTATTAAAATAATTATATAATATATAAAAAAAAAATAACAAGTAAATTGATATCTTATTTTACGTGTATGTAGCATTAATAATATAGTAGACAAGTAAAGCTTCAAATATAAAGTACGTCTTTAGGTCTACATCGTTTATGTCACATTTAACAGATACAAATTGCCTTTATTCAAATTGTAAAGAGAACTTGTCTCGACACTTCGATCGTTCATCTCGCTAAGTAGTAGGGTCGATAGGTGCTGAAAATGGGAGGTAAAAAAGACATATGAAAATGATAAACAATGTTTGCACTTAAAAAAAAATGTAAATCCTTAAGTTTTCAATAGATTATAGCGTCCTCAACTTCATGAATAAGCTTTAACAAAATCAGTCAACTTGACCTCAATAAATGTTCGAATTCATTTTAATGCCATCTATATTTGGTACAGATTTATAGCTTTTTGGTATTATTTAATGGTAAACATTCTTATTTGAAAATCATTTGTTTTATTTTAATAACAACTTCTTCAATAAAAAATCATAGGAACTAAACAAAATATTTTCCCACATTTTGTATAAATTCGAATAATTTGATACTTTTTTTTAATTGAATTGACATAAATATTTATCAAAAATTGCAATTATTATTGATTGATATATTTATTGAGTGACACTGAAATAGAATGTGAATTTTTACATTTGTGAATTTATCTATTTTACACTTATTTAATTTATTAATATCACTAGTGGTTTTGATATGATAAGACTTATTTGTAATTAAACAATAAAAATTGGTGATTAAATTATCGCCACTGAGATTTGTTCCTAATCCCACTGATAAAGTATTAAAGATTATAAATGAAAAAGGTGATTACCGAATGGAAACGATGCGTAACTTTGGTCTCAGATAGTGTGTGGAATGGTTTTGTGATTTGGAATACCATTTCTAGTTAGAGAATAATGGAAGAGGATGACGAGGAGACCACCCAGAGCCTGTCGAAGGCATCTTCGACGGTGACGCTGACCCAGCAGAATGTGTCTGTATCGAGGACGTCCTCATTTATCCTTGGTGAACACCTGGGGCACATACCAAAATGCCAGATAGTGACGCACCAAGCGAGCGGCGACTCTTTGGAGAGCGAAGAGTCGACGTCTACGAGAGCGTCGCCGCATTACTCGCTGCTGAGCAAATCGCCGCATTCCAGTTCCTCCCAAGAGGATTACGAGCCGAAGGGGCAATTCCTGTCTACGGGAATCCGCACGGAGGCTGCCAGAAGCATGGAAAGTTTGCGGACAACCTCCCGCAGTTTCCTGTCCACAGGAAGCGAACGCGACGTGCGGCGCTTCATGTCGGAGAGTGTTGAGTGTCTCGAATCCAGGGAGTCCAGACTGAAGAGGCACGCAGTCAGCGGCGAAGGTTCGCTTATATCCATGGGCGCCTCCGAGGAGACGATAAGCGCGGAAAGGCGAAGAGGTCTGTGGTCGGGTCGTGTGCCTCAACATCTGAGTCTTCCGCCTCCTGCAGGTTACCTCTCGTTGAGTCCTGGCGATAGGAAACTCACAATATTATCGCCGCACTCTCCGCTACGTGCTCCAGATCTTATGCATCTCACGTTAAGCTCCAAGACTCGCAGGAGAAAGATCATGTTGCCTAAGCTCATCCTACCACGAAGCGACTCCGAAATCAGCGATGTTTTCTCTGAAGGATTCGAGTAAGTTTCCATTAAAATGAAGACACACAACATACATATCTTTCGCACTTCCTCAAATCGATGGTAATTAATGAATCAATCATTATTTATTAAACGACATAATAAACTTTACAATTATTAATTAATTAAATCAATTAAATAATACGTGTTAGATGAATCACAAACACAAATCAAACACATCTATATTTCCTAAAGAATAACCTTACAGTCATTGGTAGTCTTCTCAATGTTAAAATTTAGTGAGACGAAATTAATCCAACTTTATATAAAAATATGAAATGTATCAAATCTCCAGCTTTTGTAAAATCTGAATCAATTGGACACACCGTATAATAAGAAAATCCACTTAATTTCACTGAAATTTTCTCTATGATCATATTTTTATTTTTCTACATCTTAAAATGAAAGCTTTTGTTATATGAAAATAAAACGTTTATCTCAAATATATTTAAAAGCCTAGTTCAATTGGACACAAATTAAATAAAGAAAATCCAGTTTATTTTCTAAAGTATAATTTCTTCTACTTCGTAATGTTATTTGTAATTTTTCTAATTTATAAGATTAACTGATCTAACTTCTCATGAATATATAAAGTTTGTCTCAAGTCTTTACCATTTGCAAAATACGTGATTCAATTGGACACAACTTTATAAAAGGATAATCCACTTGATTTGAGTAAAATTTTATTTAAGAATGAAATTCACGATGTTAAAGGTCTTAATATAATTTGTACTTTTATTAATTTATAAGACTCATTGAAATATATTGCTCTAACTTCATGTGAAAATAAAAAGTTTGTCTCAAGTCTTTATATTTCGCAAAAAAAAGGGGTTCAATTAGACACAACTAACATAAGGTAAATATACTTAATTTCAGTGAAGAATGATATTCAATATGTTATAGCTTACATAACAAAACGAAACAAAGAAAATTCACGTATAGCATGATATTAAAAAATATTACGATGACTAATACGAACGTCAATACAATGCGTATATTAATTACTTTAATTAGAGTGTTTACGGAAATTCTCTGATAGACATTAATATTGAATGTGCAATGGACATGGCATATCTCCTCGAATAATATAACATCCATCCTTTGTATCTATGTTATTGCGTATATCGAATGATAACCGACATGTGCACACGGGTCACAAAACTATTATTATTATCAGACATTCAAATCAGAACCTATTGTACAACCTCTGCGATGTAACTATACAATTGAAACATAATTTTGCTGTTGTTTCGAGAATTCAATTATTTTCTATTACAATTCATAATTTACAGAGAATAATCATATTTTTTGCTGAGCAGAAAGTTTTAGGTCGATTTCACTTTAACTCAAAGTAGGATTAATAAAAACATGAAAAAAAATGCAGGCGTTCCTAAATTTACGCGATTTTCGGCTACGCGTGGATTTTTTTTACTCGAATGAAAATCGCGTCAAAAAAAATGAAAATAAAAATTGTTATAAGTTTTGGAAATACATAAAATAATGAAAGGATAACAAACAAAAAAAAACAAAAATGTCAGAAGTGGAAACTGGAGAAATTGTGCATAGGCAAAATACGGAGTAAAATCCAGACAAAGATAAATATTTTTTAAGAATGATGTAACAAGAAGTAGATTACTGGGTCCGTGTGCGAGCAAAGTTTATGGGAACTTTGATTGAATTTGTGAGGGCCCCATCAAATTTGAATTTGGGGTCACATGATATTTTTTATTTGATGGACACAAATGTAAAAGTGTATGGACTCTTAGATTGAAATTGTGAATTGAAAGCAAATTATTATTTGGAGGACTAAGAACATTTTCAATTTGAGGGACCCTTTAAATTTCTATTTAGGGCCACAGAAAAAACGATTACTTTGTAGACTCTGTCTACCTTAATAGACCATTCGATTGAATTTGTGGACCTAAGGAAAACCTATTATTTAGAGGACTCAGGAAAATTTGGTGTTACACGATAAGTTTTATATTAGTTTTAAAGTGTCGGTAATTAAAAAACAATTGAGTTTATATAAGCAAACCTACATGAAGTTTGGCTACCAGACAAATCTTTTAACACTTTGATTAAATTTGTGTGCAGAATGCAAATTATTATTTGGAGGTCTTAGTAAATTACAAATTTTAATGGACCCAAGATAAATATTTATTTACAGTTAAGCAAATTTGAAATTGAGGGCCCCATCAAAATTTAATTTGGGGCCATATGAAAAGTTTTTATCTTAGTTTTCAACAGTCTACATTAAGAAAACAACTTACTTTCTGCATACTATTGGTCCCCTCACCTCGTGGGCCCGTGTACGTCGCTCTTGTTGCACTTTAATTGCTATAAATTGAATCATTAAAACTATTGGAAAGTCTATTGATCATTTGTCTTTCATCTTTTAATAAATTATTTACCTGGGAATGACGAAATACAATGTGAAAGGGGGAGAAAATAATAAAAAAAAAGATAGTAACGGTGACAGTAAATGGTTTTTCATTTATGAAATAGCGTTAATTCCGTTTTCCGCATTTTTCCGTGTATGCGGTGTGCGCTTTACATAACATATTTGTATTGATTTTCGATGTCATATTTGTTTTATTGCATCGAATGGTAAATGGAAAACGCCTATAAAAATATGAAATATGAAACATTGCGTTCAAGTTTTTTTCTAAATAAAATATATATAAATAAAGCTCAATTAATGAAATTCTCTATAATATTATTTATATATAATGAAACGTAATTATTTATGTTAAATCGCCCCTTTGATCAAACGGCAATAGTAATAAACATGCTTTATATCCCATTCATACAAAATTGCAAATTACGCAATTTCAATTCCACGAATTAAACGTTAAATGCAAATAAATGTTTTTTTTTAATCTTTGGAGTAGATTTCGAATAATTCGCGCCGAGAGTAGCTTTCACAAATTATTTGCACTCTCCTCTTTCAGAGAGTTCTCGATCTTTCGAGGCGGAAGAATCCACACCAATTTCTGTCTGGGGTCAGATTATATTTCCCCGATGCGGTATTCCTTCAAAGAGGATTTTTATTTCGGAAAAAGAGAGAAAGAATTGTCCTGACATGTTGTGAATGAGAGTACGATGGTGGAAGAGGAGAGGAGCAAACCGCGCCCCGGGGGTTCCTTTTCATACTCGATATTTGCAGCTGACGAAATCCCCAACAACCATAAGGGAAATTTTATTCTCTGCCCTAGATTGAATGTACTTCCTGCCTTCCCTAATGTACGTAATATAATTACGTTGTGCGCTCGCGGCGAAGGGTCTTGCATTAAATTTGATGGAATATGTATATATATATAATATGTTTAATCAAAATCAAATATTGTTGAATATTATTCTATTTCGCAACAAATTGCAAACTCGTATTTCGCACGTGACTAATATTAATTGAAGAACTTTGTACCCGCCGCATCCACCATAAATGCGCCGCTAATCCGAGCGAATTAATTAATCTAAAACGTTATTTCTCTTTCTGTTTCAGGTAAGTAGCGAATTCGCTTAACCGCAGTTTAGTTAAACTTGAGTGAGTATATGCACCTGCGACTTAACATCGCCGATATGGAAATACGCGATTCGCGTTTCAAATACACTCGACAATGGAAATCGAGTGACGTCGGAAGCGGAAGTCCATGCATAATGCAGAGCGCCTTTGATGTAGGCCCCAGAAGTTATCATTGCTTCGCTTTTCTGTATGCATTATCAAAGATAACCGGATTCGTGTCAGTTTTTCCTCACGCAGGTGGCAAGGATGAAAAGCAGTCCTCAGGATTGATGGCCGCTCGCGTAAAGCCGTGTTCTTACCATTTGTGAGAAGGTCCGATACGGTCACATACGTTACGTACAGAATTTACGGCCTCTGGCGCCTTTCCAACGTACTTTACCGAGAATTGCGTCATCAGAATATATTATATAATGCATACGTATATATATATAAAATAGTAAATGCGTCCCCTATTCCGGTTTTAATTGTAATTTCCCAAGTGCATATTTTTTTGCAAAAGTTTTATGAAAAAAAAAATTGTCGCGTACATTTGCAAACTTTCGAATAACATATATATTGAGCATAATTTAAGAGACGACAAACTAAGTACGGGTGGAATTAATGCGTGGAAGCATTGTCTGAATTTAATAACGGAATACGAAGAGACGCAAGCGATATTGCATTCTTTCAAAATGTCAAAGACTTATTGTATTCCCGGCAAAACATTCTATTATTCAAATGAAAATACTTCTTAATTGAATATTGCGCTTTGGAATTACGTCACGTACGATTATTTACTTCCTCATATAGATGTTTATTGGCTTATTACTGTACGTGACTTGACAAATAAATGACAATCAAGCATACCAATTACTCTGTATATATGACAGCTGTCAGTTTAGTTTCTATTTTGAAGTATGCTTTCATTTGAATACCAGTATTATAAATCTTCCAAAGTAGACATTTAAATATTTGAAAGTTATGTTTTGAATTTAAACTGATAAAGACAAACCCTATTATGGGAATTTATCTTAATCTATCCATTATAAGCAGTGGTGTGAATCATCAACAACAAATTTAAAAACTAATCATGTTGCTGATTCGCAAGGGTTAATCAATAAATGAGTTTTGTACAAGACTTGACACATAAATTATAATCAGACGTACCTATGAATATGCATTATGATAGCTGTCAGTTTAGCTTCAATGTCAGCTGACTTCTTTAGAACCTAAAATTAAAAAAAATATCTTATATCTTAATTTTATATGATAAAAGTTTAAACTATGTATATTTGTCTAAAAAATATAAATGACCTTGATTAATATTAGAATTTTAATCAATAAGTTAGTGATGTACGATAAAAAAGAATATTATTTTGAAATAAGAGAATGGAATTTCGAAAATACATTAATTTAAGCTATCTATTACAAACCACAAATGTACATATCGGTTTCATGATCACTGATAAATATTACTAAATACTTTCAACATTTTTTT